CTCCACTCCACCAAAGCTCAGAGGTGGCAGAGCCCCAGCAGTGGGACAGAGGGGCTGGCCCCCATGGCTGACTTAGCTGTGCCCTGCCCAGGGTGCATTGATGGGGAGCTCTGCGGGGTTTCTATGCCTGAACCTATAGCAGAGTGAAGACTTTTCTTTTTCTTTTTTCTTTTTTTTTTTTTGCAGTTTTTTTTTTGGCCAGGGCTGGGTTTGAACCCACCACCTCCGGCATATGGGGCCGGTGCACTACTCCTTTGAGCCACAGGTGCTGCCCATGAAGCCTTTCCTTTCAGACTTCCCTGGGGGCTTCAATGCGAGTGAAAGTGTAGATGTCACCACATATGCTGGTCAGGGGCAGAGAGGTAAGTCAGGGACCTTAGGGATGTATGAGATGGAAACATGACTCAAGTTCACCCAAGTTCATAGGAAACTGAAAGGTCAGGACCACGCCCTGCTTCCTCCACCCTGCAGGAAGACAGAGCCTTTCCCCACATCAGGCCACAAGTGAGTCTCCTTGACACTCATGAGCCAGTCAGGGGTCAGGTCCTTCCCCAGAGCTTGCCCAGTGACGAGGGCCTGCCCCACTCTGCTGTTCAGTCTCAGTCCCATGTCCTTCTAGAGGCCAGGGGTGGAGTATCTCTCTCCAAACTGTGCGGTGTGCCAGAGTACAAGGCAGGCAACCCCTAGGATCCCCAGTGCTGCTCCTCTAAGTGGGGCCAGTGGTCTGGCAAGTGGAGCTGCCCTCAGACCTGGCAGAGAAGAGAGGATGTGAACACCTGTGCTGCACACAGTGGGGCCTTTCCTTCCGTCTGTGCAGGTGGCAGGTCTGGGCCAACATGTGCCTGCCACCTTTACAATGACCTAATGCCATTTAAAAAATTCAGACTCAAGAGCCTCCTGAGCCATCAAGTCTGTGGACATACAAGGTCACTGTTGAGATGGCCAGTGCTTCCCCTTTGGCAGTGGTCTTATTTTCAGTGGGGATTTACGGCAGTAAATAAAATACGAGCTACACTAACGCTAACAGTCCCTGGGTTTGAGCGAGCACTTTCCCTCGGTTCATGCTCACAGCAGCAATGCAAGGTGAGAACAGCCACAGGCACAGTCTGGACAGGAGGAGATGGAGGCCCAGAGAGGGCAGAGGCAGGGCTGGGATTTGAGCTCAGGATTTCAGACACCAGAGATCAAAGGGGTTGGGATCAGTAGTGGCCAGTGGGGGGACAGTGCCTGTGTGCATGGGTGAGAAGAGTCCATCCTTTGGCCCCAGGTCCACCCAGGAACAGTGTGGATGTGGACACTTAGAGCTTCCTGGGAAGGGCTTTAGAACCCCAGGAGGCACCAGGAGGGACCAGGAGGGATGTGGGCTGCATCTTGGGGTGGAGAAGGTGATGATGGAGACCTCTGATGAGGACACCCCCTGCTTGGGCTTCATGCTTACTCTTGGCTCCAAGTTCTGCAGTGAAGCCAGAAAGCTCCACGGGGAATTCAAGTATGGCCAGGCAGAGAATGCTCGGGGCTTTTGTAGAGGCCCAGGCAGAAAGTCGCATCTTTCCACTATGAAGGAGGACAGCAATGGCCCCAGGGGGGACGGGTGGGGTGCGGGGCTGATGCTGCAGGTGCAGGAGGGCCATCCATGCTGGGTTTGACACCCTGTGCTGGGCAGTGACTGTGCTGTACTGGAAACAGATCAATAAAGGAATTGCTAAAGGAAAGCAGTTGGACAGAGTAATCTATAACAAGTCATTAGTGAATAATGAGGTCCAGCTTCAGGGGCTGCTTTTTAAGAGAAGACAACTAGGGAAAGGCAAGGACTAAACCACTGGACACCATCCTGGTGTCAGGATGTCCGGCAGCTGTGACGATGGAGGTCACTCCCAGCAGCATGTAGCCACATGAGTGGCCACACGTCACCATTTTCATACACCCATTCGTTTATTCACTGGCTCATATTTGTTCACCAAATATCAATGGAAGACCTGTGTGCTGAGGTCCAATGGTGAGCTAAACCCACTCCTTTGCCTTCAGATGCCTTGCCTGGAATCTGGACTTCCATGTCTGTCTTCCCCTGGGGTCCTCTGGGAGCAGGCCCCTCAGGCTGGCCCTGCTCTGCAGACCCCATGTGGCAAGGGCTTCAGGGAAGCATCGTGGGACTGAGAGGGCCTCCGGCACTGGGAGCTGTGCTTCCATCACTCTAAGCAGATGGGGCAGTGCATGCTCTCTTATGACCTTTTTATCCGCTTGGTGTGTATGGCTGAGTGGTGTGTATGGCAGAGCCCCGGCTGCCACACGTGATAACGCTCCTGCTGGGCTTCCTTTTAATGAGTCCACTCTGCTTGTAGGGGGTGTGTGTCCCAACCCTGCTGCTCCCTGCTGTGACATACAGAGGGGATTGACCTCTAGGCCAAGGCAGGTGGCTGCAGAGTCCCTGGCTTTGGCTGGGCTGCTCCCACCCAGGCTCGGTTCCCTGGCTCCCAGCCCTGGTCCCACCTCCTGCCCTCTCTGGCTCTCCTCGTCCTCAGCAGTAAAGCTCCAGACCCAGCTGAGCTCAGCTCTTGCAGGCCCTCCTCAGAGGACCCCTGCAGTTGGTGGAGGGAGTGCTCTGACCCCAGCCCTGGCCCCAGGGGTGGTGGTGGCAGCTCTGCGGGCAGCTGTGGCTGCCTTGTGCCTCTGGCGGCTTTCCCACCCTGCACTCCTGCCCGGGGCATTGGCCTGAGAGCTGGTACTCTGCCTGGCACAGTGGCAGGCTTGCCATTCTTCTGAAATGAGTAATAGAAAGCAAGTCCAAGAAACATCCGCTGTTTTCTTCCTACTGTTGCCCAATCTCAACAAGATAACGGGGTCGCCTTCCCACGTGAGAAGGACCGAGGGGACACCGAGGAACCACAGCCATCCAGACCTAAGTGTCACAGTCTGGGAGGAGCAGAATAGTGGAGCGATTTGCCTATTTGATGTGAAAGTCATTTTGAATTATTTTTAAGGACTCCATGGAGAGTTTTTGCTTTGAGAAAAATTTCATCAAGAAATTCTCCCAGTGTTGGAGACACACTCTTTCTTTAATGTAGTGTGTGACCCCCACACATTCACCGTCAGGATCTCAGACGAGTCTGGAATTTGGGGTTGACTTTCAAGTGGAAGGGGCAATTCCTTGCACTTATTTCCCACCACCCAGCTTCTGGTCTGTAGAAACTGAGCCCCCCGAAACATCAGAACAGACCCCATGAGGGATGACCGTGCTAACTTTGTGGTATCTCATCTGGCTCCAGGGCCACCATGTCCCCTTAAGCCTTCTGCAATGAGTACAGGGTGCATTTGGGTGGAGGTTTAAAAACTGTGTCAAGATGCACACAAATAAAATTCACCTTAGTTTAGGCAGTAGATGTCTCTGGGAAACTTGGTGTCTGAACAAATTAAAGGAACGCACAAGAACAAATTTTTAAGTGTTTTTATAGAGAAAGAATTTGTCCTCTAAGTGGGGACAAGTTACAGAGTCACAGGTGACTGCATCAGGAAAGGTAAGAGACGGCTGGCAAGATTTGTTTTTTATTTCAGAATATTATGGGGGTTCAAACATTTTGGTGACATAAATTGCTTTTGTACCAATTGAGTCCAAGTTAGAAGTACGGGGTGCATTGTACCCCTTAGCTGTGATTTTACCCATCCTCTCCTCCATCCTTCCACCTATATGAATTTGATGAGTGGTATGTTGATCTGTGCATGTGTTAATCGATTAGTTCTGATGTAATAGTGCATTACGTGGTGTTTGCTTTCCGTTCTTGTGATACTTCACTTAAGAGAATGGTCTCCGGTTCCATCCAGATTGCTGCAAAAGGTCTTGGTTCACCATTTTTTTATGGCTGAGTTGTGCTCCATGGTGTACATTTTGTTGATTCATTCACGTATTGATGGGCACTTGAGTTGTTTCCACATCTTTGCAGTTGTGCATTGTGCTGCTATAAACATTCTAGTATCTCTGTCTTTTTCATAAAGTGTCTTTTTTCCCTTTGGGCAGATACCCAGCAGTGGGATTGCTGGGTGGAATGGTAGGTCTACTTTTAGTTCTTTGAGGAATCTCCCTGCTGCTTCCCATAGAGGCTGCGTAAGTCTGCAGGCACCAGCAGCGCGTGAGGGCTTCTCTCCACACTCACACCAGCATTTGATGTGTCAGGACTTTTGATAAAACTGTTCTCGTTGGAGTTAGGTGACATCTCATTGTGGTTTTGATTTGAATTTCCCTGATAATAGGGGATGTTGAGTATTTTTTCATATATTTGTTAGCTATTAGTCTGTCTTCTTTTCAAGTTTATTATGCTCATGTCTTTTGCCCACTTTTTCCACAGGGTTGTTTGTTTTTTTCTTGCTGATTTCTTTGAGTTCTTTGTAGATTCTGACTCTATCGGCCCTTTATCAGATCTATAGCATGCAAATATTTTCTCCCATTCTGTGGGTTGTCTGTTCACTTTATTGATTTTTTCTTTGGCTGTGCAGAAGCTTTTTCATTTGATCAAGTGACTTATTAATATTCATTTTTATTGCTGTGAATGCTTTTGGGGTGTTCATAAATTCTGTGCCTAGACCGATGTCTGTGTTTTTCCACCTTCTTCTTCTAGAATTCTTGTAGTTTCGTGTCTTAGATTTCGGACTGTTATCCATCATGCTTTAATTTTTGTGAGTGTGAGAGGTGTGGATCCTGTTCCAGCCTTTTACATGTTACTTTCCATTTGCCCGGCACCTTTGATTGAATGGGGATTCTTTTCCCCAGTGTTTGTTTTTGATTGCTTCATCGAATATCAGATGGCAACATGAGGATGGCTTTCTTTCTGGGTCCTCTGTGCTGATCCATTGGTCTATGTCTCTATTCTTGTGCCAGTACCATACTGCTTTGGCTATTGTAGGCTTGTAGCATAACTTGATATCTCATAAAGTGATGCCTCCTGCAAGGTTGCTTGGCTATTTGGGCTCTTTTTCAAATGAAGTGTAGAATTATTTTTTATAGGTCTATGAAAAATACGGAACACTACACAAATTCCCATGTCATCCTTGCTCAAGGGCCATGCTAATCTTCTCTGTATCATTCTGATTTTTATTTATTTATTTATTTATTTATCTATTTTTGAGACAGAGCCTCAAGCTGTCGCCCTGGGTAGAGTGCCATGGCATCTCAGCTCACAGCAACCTCCAACTCCTGGGCTCAAGCGATTCTCCTGCCTCTGCCTCCCAAGTAGTTGGGACTACCAGTGCCTGCTACAATACCTGCCTGTTTTTTGGTTGCAGCTGTCATTGCTGTTTTGGCAGGCCCGGGCTGGATTTGAACCCGCTAGCTGAGGTGTATGTGGCTGGTGCCTTAGCCGCTTGAGCCACAGGTGCCAAGCCATATCATTCTGATTTTAATTTATGTGCTCCCAGAGCAAGCACGGCAAGGTGCTTTTAAGACATAAGATTAGGCCGACATGGGATTGTTAACAGGATTCTTGCCATTGAGTGACAGTCATTATGTTACCCTCTGCCAACCTTCCCCATTGCTCTCAAAAACTTGCAAGATTAACAAGGACCACAATGCACATTCCCAAGTCCTGAAAAGGCTGTTCCTATGAACTGTGCTGACAAATCTTTAGCAGAGTCCTCTGTTTTCTGAGCTCTGGAGTATGGCTAGCCATTTTATCGCATCTCACCTATCTGAAAGTGGCACACCTGACAGGCTGGCTGGGGCTAGAAAGTCTGCCCCAGATGCTGGCTGTGGGCAAGAAGCTTCTGTTCCCTGCCACAGGGACCCGTCTGGAGGATTTGCCTGAGCATGCTAACAGAATGGAGAAGGAGAGAGCAAGGAAGACACTGCAGTGCCTTTGAGGACCAAGCCTGGGATGTCACAGTGTGCTGTGACTTGGACGGCCCCCTGGTCACACTCGTCAGCCCTATTCACACAGGGTGGAATGGCTGGTTCTTTTCAAAGAGGAGGAATTGGTGAGGAATTCTCATTCTTTTACTATCCTGGGCATATTAGTTGTCGTTCTTGGCAACACACCACTGAATTTGATTCTGGCTAACCCAGTGAGAAAAGGAACTTGGCAAAAGGTTACTGGATAGTTCTCAGAATCAATGGGGAAGATGGAGAATGAGACTCAGGAAATGGGCCGGAGCCAGAGAACCTACAGCCTGACCCAGGGTCAGGGCCAGGCCACAGGAAGCTATTGGTAAGGATGTGGCCTGTAGTCCACGGCTGCTGAGGCTGCTAGGCCCTGCTACCAAGGAGACCTTCACAGACTGTGAAAACAGTTCCAAAGCATCCCTGGATCAGTGATCACCCTGAATAGTCAGCGCCTTGGGTAGGATGGGTTAGAGTCTGCATCACCCACCTGCCAAGCCCCGACGGCAGGTGCAGGCAGGCAGGGAGGATCCTGCAATGGGAGGCAAACACCTTGCACCACCAATGTACAGGTCAAAGGTGCCTAAGAATAGAGAGAGAGTTCTGACGGTGACCCATGACAGAGAGTCACTCTGTCTCCTCTGTACTGAGCTCCGGGGTTATTTTTGGCTACAAGTATATCCGGTATTACAGTATTAATACATTACTGAAAAGTTATGTTAATTTGAATCATGCTTTATATACACTGGGTAAGCTCAATACCTTTCAGAAGTCTGTAGCTAATCCTTTTGTAAAGCAGCTAATCCTTTTAGAGAACAAACACTCGGCTTCTTAACCATTTTTTTTTTTTTTTAAGATCAGGACTCTACATACTGCAGTTTCTCAAGACAGAGTAGCCAACAGTTAGGTTTTTCTCTTTCTCTCTTAGTAAGGAAATGTTACATGTTTATGGATAACTGCTTGTGGCATTTCATGTAAAATGAAAAAACAATGGTTTTTTTTTTCATTTTTTTATTCTCCACTGTAATTGACTATCTTCTGGAAGAAAGTACAAGTTGTTAAACACTTTTTAAAGCTTGTATTTATTTTATTCTTACTGGAAAAACTGCTTTTAATAGAGCATGTTTAGAAACTAACAAAGAATTTGGATGCGTGAAGAAGCAGGCGTTTCTCTCATATTCTGCTTGGCAAGTCACATATGGAAAATTCACCTTTGATGTTAATTATTTTTTTTCTTCTGTAAAGAGCTTTCAAACTATAAGTAACAGACATATTTTCTTCCGTTTCCTCGAGTTGCTTTCCCATTTGCTGGGTAACAGACTGCAGAGATGGGAGACTAGCCCCGCAGGGAGGGGCCTCACAAGTTTAGATCTTTGCGCCACCGGGTTAAAGTGATGGGCTCTGAGCATCCAAAGTAGTCGGAAGGCGGCGGCGGGGGGCGGGGGGAGAGACCACAGACAAGAAACTGGCTGGACAGGGAGCCAAGGTGGGAAGCCGCTGTCGTAACCCCAGAGGAATGGAGAGAAAAGGAGAGGCAGGGGGAAGGAAAGACTTACCTCCTTTAACCCAGAGAGTAATCAGGTCCACAGGGTGGCCCCCACCCGGGGAGAGATCCTCATGCACCTTCAGGGAGTTGGCAGGATGGAGACCTGCCCAGTGTTCTCAGGAAGTTTCATTTGGCTGCTTTCTGCTCCGGCACTGATCATGTGCATGGCCTCGGTTGATAACAGGATGAAGGACTGGGTTGAATGCCTTCACACACTAGAATCCTACCCCTTGTGCAAAATGCTGTCCTCTGGGAAGGTGGAGGAAGGTTCCGGGGACTCACGGACGTAGTTGTGTTTCCTTGAGTTTAATGTGTGTGAGATGTCATTCCATTTTATGGTTAGCAAAACCAAAGCTCAGGCAAGTAAGATGTTGTTCAGGGCCACGTACACAGAGGGTAGCAGCCCTGGGGTTCAAGTCCAGATTCTCCTGCTTCCCAAACCCGGCATCTGGCCAGACCTGAACAAACAGTCTCTATGGACGGAGAGGAACCTCGTGGAGGGGCGGCCTGGGAATCCGTGCAGCTGGTTTTGCAGCTTGTTTTGTGCCACCTTCTAGGCCATGATTCGGAGATTGTTGGATCTTTGAATAAAATATGAAGCTAAAGAAAATTCAGAGAATGACATGTTTGAGTGGGTTATTTTTTGTCATTTATATCAGTAAAAATGAATCATTTTCTTAATATGATTGTACTCTTAAAAGAAAATTCCTATTTCCTTGGTGTACTTTAATAAATTATTTATTGTTGTGTTATTATTGAAAGCATGATGGTGTTATCCCCTTTAAATGGCTTTTTCTATGTAGTCTTTGTATTTAAGTATAAAACACAGATAGCATCATCATGTTCGGGCTTGATGCACTCTCCAAAACCTGTTATATTAGATGGAATATTGATTTCTTAATACAGTAATCCTGATCTGCTTTCTTTCCTTAAGACTTGTAAATTGCAGAGGGGTAGCCTTCAGATTTAGAATTAAAGCAACACTTCAAAGGAGCATCATTTGGGCAATTCACACACCTTCCATCACCTGCATTTGCTAATTTTTTCACTTATTTATCCAACCTACCTCACACAACATCCGGACAAACTTTAAAAGTTGTTTAGTGTAGCAAAGAAACCATTCTCTGATTTATTTTTGTTTTGTTTATCAGGCCGTGCTCCATGCCCTTGCTTCCCCGCCCCCTCTCTTGTTGGCTCCCATAGAGCCCAGAATTTCTGAACAGGAAGGAAACACTAGAAAAATCAAGGCAGATGTGGCAGTTCTTTTCCAATGCACACGTGATTATTGGTTTGTATCGATTTCTCCTTTCTTCTTTGGAAGTTTCCCAATGCCAGTTGATTTCCTCTTTTTCATATCTTTGGTGGTTTTCTTCTCTCTGCCCAGACCCGTTTCTTCTGGGTGGAGGGCAGCTCTGCTGTGCAAGTGAGACTCACTCTGATTGCAGGTTTACCTGGAAGGCGTGGAAATGTACATCTACCTGCTAAATAACATCTCAGAAAGCACAATCTTCAGAGATTAGGACTGTACTGATAATTTCCCATTAGAAAAAAATCACAGCACTCTTTCTGTGTCAACCTTCTTTCAGCCCAATTTTTATACCCAAACTCTGAGATCTATACTCAAAGTTAAGGCCGTAGTAAGTCAGCCTGTGCAATGGAAAACAAAACTTACTTGTCTAGCTACGTAAAACAACGCTTCTGTTAAATACAGAGGTGGTTGTGAATCACTTTATGTGTTCAAACGGTTTGCAGTTGTCAGAGCTTTAACGGTAAAGCCCAATGACACTGTTTGCTATTTCAGGTCACTTTTAAATTACACAGGTGGTACTTAACCTTAAAAGAGGAATCAAACCTTGGACTAGTATCTGTTTTAAGGCTCCACATTCGGCCATTGTATTTGGTGGGAAGGAGTTTAATATGCATCGTAAAATAAAACAAGAAGGCACTTTGGGTTCGTGGTTGCTCATGTAATTAGGTTCAGGTGACTGTAATTTTTCCAGGTAATTTCTTCCATGATGTATGCTGTGTAAATAATACATTTATAAATCCCTTAATACATATAAATTATTATATAAATCCTTAACATTAATGCAGTAAAGTATTGTAAATAAATTACTTGGAAGTATGAGTTTCATGGCAAGTAGGTAAAATTGATTTTGTTTTGGAGATCTGTGAAGACTGATATTTCATTTGTTTAACAAATACTGATATTTATTAAGTCTCTACCTGGGGACACAAAGGTCTGAAAACCATGGTCACTACCTTTAAGAATCTGCTAATCCAGTGTGACATTTCCAGAGGATTCCTTGGAAACTGATCCTCAGTGCCGTGCCAGGTGGGGACAGGTGTGTGGGGAGCCCAGACCGTAGCGAGCTGGCCCTGAAAGGTACAAGGACAGTGGCCACAGCGGCTCCATACAGTCTGAACGTGTCGTCCTGGATGGCAGGGTTCTCACTGCACTCCCTTAAGATTTTGTGGGTAAAATCTAGAGGGGAGATTCAAAAACTTTTTAGATGAACCATAGGCGTGATCTAAACAGTGTTTGAATCTCCCCTCTAGACACATGTGAATCTTTCTAAATGTAGAATATAAATGTCTTAACACAATAACTAAGAAAATGACATAAAGGCTATGTTAACCAGTTTGATGAAAATATTTCAAATTGTATATAAAAACAACACACTGTACCTCATGACA